AATGAACTTAAGTGTTCATTTAACTTGTTTCCACTGATGATATATATCACCGAAAAAGTCATTTTTGTGGAATATTGTAAAAGAGGAAAGATTTATGTGATATGAAGAGAAACTAAAGTGTGTGTGTATTTGTGTGTGTGTGTGTGTGTATATATGTGTGTTGGTCCTGGGGTTTGAAGTGTGTGTGTGTGTGTGTTGGTCCTGGGGTTTGAACTCCAGACCTTATGCTTGCTAGGCAGGGACTCTACTGCTTGAGCCACTCTGCCAGCCCTGGAATATTGTGTAACTTTTTCCCCAATAATTTGTCAGAGGCTATGACAGGCACATGCACTCTGCTAAGCTCCTGCAGGTGGATGGGTGCTGTCTGCTGTGGGAAGACTTGGGCCAGCGCTACTGCGCATTGTGATTCTCTCTGGTCCTTGTTTTAGTGATTAAGGACAAGTCTGAGTTGATCAGTGAGCAGGTATGGGGGGCCAGAGTGAGGGGAGGGGGCTTGGATGTATGATCATATAGAGAAAAGGCCAGGCCACTGGTGTGTGCCTCTGTAGGGTTCTCCTAGTCACTAGCTGTGAGCTATCTCCACGGCTGCCATCTTCATGAAATGCTTATCTTCCCCACAGGCCAAGCTAAGAGTGGATTTCATCCAATCCATAAAGACTGTTGAACTCTGAGCTGGACAGAGCTGGCCAGCTCCCAGCTCTGCTTACTCCACTCCTTGCCAGGAGCTGTCAAGGCCTGTTTAGGGGTGCCCCATCTGGGATGTAGGTGGGGTCTTCTCATAGAACTTATGACCGGGTTGGTGCTCTCAACGCCTTCTCCAAAATCCACCTAGAGTCTTTTTCAGAGGTGTAGCTGCCAAGATGTGTCTCCACGTTCCAGCTGGCAGAAGCTGAAGTGAAGTAAATAAAATTACCCTTTCCTCCTCAGGGTGAAGTTTCATTTGAGAAAATTCAGATCCTAAGTTAGGGGCCTTAAAAAGCCCACTCTGTGCTCCTCTTTCTTAGTGCTCTTCTGAGAACGAGACTAATTTCATTGGCAATTGCTCTAAAAAGGCTGTCTTCAGACCCCTCCTTTTCTTCTGGCTGCCAGCCTCGTCCTTTTCCAGCTGTGGGGTGGAGAGCTTTCTGCAGGCGCTGTCACAGCCAGTCCTGCTGGCTCCAGGTCACCTGTTGGCATTCCCCAGAGGTCAGCCTTGACATCTGAGAGCCTGCCCTCACCTCCACCCACCACTGCTCCAACATGGCCACTGCCACTGTCTCATGATGACTTGGCTCCAATTTGGGGGCAATTTGCTACAGAAATGTGCTACCCTGTGATTCTCAGATTCTCTTCTCTCTCCAAATCCAAGTCCCTAATTCCTTCCTGAGTGTCCCTCTGGATCGGAGGAGGAGTTGCTACACACATGTCCACTGACAGCCCTTCTGTTTACTGGGTGGGTCTTCTGGTTGTTGGCATATATTCCCACAGGCAGGCATCTGCAACCTGCCGGGTCCCCCACAACACACCCATCCTCCCCAAGGATTCTGCTCTCCTGGGAAATGCTGACCAGGGTGTTAGCTCTAAAATTTCCAGACCCTGGGCCTTGCTGCTCCTGCAGACCCCAGGGGGAACTTTTTTCTCCCTACTCTAGGGGATTCCCTCTTTCTCCCTCTTCTCCCCCCAGTCAGCTTCCTTCTTGCAGACCCCCTCCCCAATTTCCTCCTCTCCTCAAACCTGCTCAGCTCTCTCAGGAGCATGGAGCTTTTGCCATATGAGTAATTTCTGCATTCTGACCAGGTGCCAGAGAAATCCAGAATCAGCTGGCCACTGCTTCGAAGAGCAGAAGAGAAAACAAGGAAAACAAAGGGCTGGTAGAGTGGCTCAAGTGGGAGAAAGCCTGCCTAGCAAGTGTAGGCCTTGAGTTCAAGCCCAACTACCACCACAAAAATAAATAAAAATGCTAAATAACGAAAACAGGAATTTATGAAAACATTAGTCATAATGTCATATGTTCAGATCACTGATACTTACCATGCTCTGCTTTGTCCTAGGAATACAGATGTGAGTGAGACACAATCAGGTCCTCCAAGGATCAAAATCTGATAGGCATGTTAGTTGAGATTGCAGGGAGGTGTAAAAAACAGGAAGGCAGAACCCAGGGGTAACACAAAAGTGAGGCTTCTAGTTGAGTTACTGGAAGAAAGGAAAACTTGGTACAGTGAGTTATTTATAATGGCAGGAGGTTTGGGTTTTTGCTAGCTCACTTATACAGACCCACTGTCTAGGAACAGTGAGACTCTTCACATGTACTTGGTGAGTGAGTGGGTGAGTGAGGAGGTAGTGGGGATCCCTAAGAATGGAAGCAGGGTTCTGTGAGAGAGTTGGGAAATCAGTAATGTATTTGTCAAAGTTCCAGCAGAAAATGTGGCTGTCACACTAAGTGACTTGAGGGAACTTTACTAAGGTGGTTATTTACAAATGTGTGTGTGTGTGTGCATGTGGAGCCCCTCAAGGACAGTGTAGTCTGCCATCGCTGGTACGAGTCAGGTGTGACCACCCCTCTGGTAAAAGGGGCAAGGGAGAGAGCAATTACCAGATGCTCGGAGGAGTGACTGTGTGTAGAGGGCCACACAGTCTGTGAGATCTGTGACCTTCAGTTACAGTGATGGTACAGGGAGGAAGCCTAGAGATAAAGTAACCAGCCTGCTGCCCTCCACAGCTTCAGACTTCTGTGGCTCCTCATTGGCGTGCCCCTCTGGAAGCCAGAGGGCAAGGGAGTCTGTGGTAAATGCCACACAGGCCAGCCTTCTGGGCCCAGATAGGGGCGGATGCTAGACAGTAGCTGGGGAGAGGCACAGCAGTAGCATCCAGTCACCTCCAGGGGACAAACTCATCCAGAATGGCTGGACTAGGTCTTGATGGACCCTGAAAGTCAGAAACTCTGTTTAGGAACACAAAGTTACTGAAGTGAAATTACCAAACAGTTACTGAAAATACCTGGCTTTACAAAACTCACCACTCAGCATCCATCAGAGCTGTTATCCTTCTTTTTCTTCCCCCTCATTTTTATTAGCATACATTAATTGAAGGGGGGTATCCTTCTTTATTCTTAGGCAAACAATCTCCCTAAAGCCATTGCCGCTGCTCACACCTTTCTTCTGAAGCACCCTGATGATGAAATGATGAAGAGAAACATGGCGTATTACAAGAGCTTGCCAGGTGCCGAAGACTACATTAAAGACTTGGAAACCAAGTCGTATGAGGTATATTCAGACTTGACACTAAAGTATGAGTTGTTAAAGAAGCGTGTCTAAGTGAATAGAGTCTATTGTAATCTAAAGACCTCTAGTGATTTTGGGGGGACATTTGATAAACATTATGGCAATAGAAAATGATTAGCTTTTGAGTACATAACTGGTCCCTTGTTACATTTAAGGTAAGTTTTTAGGGCTAGTGGTGTAGATCAGTGGTAGTGCTTAGCAAGCTCATAGCCTTGGTTTAGTCCTCAGCACTGCAGAAGAAAGACAGAGAGAGATAGGAAGAGAGAGAGAGAGAGAGAGAGAGAGAGAAAGAGAGAGAGAGAGAGGAAGAGTGTGTGTGTGTTTGCAGTACTAGATAGGTGGTCTACCACTTGAGCCACACCCCCAGTTTAAGCATGAGGATTTTTACTGCTTGAGCTACACCTCCAGTCAAGCATGAGGATTTTTATTGTTGTTGTTTTGTTGGGGTTTGAACTCAGGGCCTACACCTTGAGCCACTCCAATAGCCCGTTTTTTGTGATGGGCATTTTTGAGATAGGGTCTTGCAAACTATGTGCCCAGGCTGACTTCGAACTGCGATCCTCCTGATCTCTGCCTCTTGAGTAGCTAGGATAAGGCTTGTTGTTTTTTGAGACACAGTGTCAAAAACACTCAGGGCCCTCATGCTTGCTAGACAGACACTCTACCACTTGAGCCACTCTGCCAACCCTTTTTTGTGTTGGGTATTTTCAAGATTGGATCTCACGAACTATTTGCCCGAGACTCACTTTGAACCATGATCCTCCTGATTACAGGTGAGCCACTGGTGCCTGACTCATAAGTATCCATTTTTGATGAAACTGGGAAAGCTTACTACACATACATACACACAACATACCTCAAAAGAAAAAACAACAACAACCAAAAAAAACTCTTTTCAGCACTGATTGTGCTCAGAGTCTATCTTGCTCAGACACTGGGTACTGGGTACTAGGAAAAGGGCAGGGCAAGGTTGAAACCAGGAAGGTGTGTGACAGTTTCCATGAAGAGCTGTAGATCCCAAGGCCTGGCCCCTGGGTTTCTGGTGGCATGACTCAGCTGTAAACTCACTTTTTCTCTGGTGCAAGTAGCATGGAAGGCTGTTTTCCTGGGCCCTGTAGTTTTCCAGTGAAGACATGTGCAGCTTTCTGCAGGTTGTTGGTGTGTTCACACTTATCCGCTGGAGTCTCAGAGCCAGTCTGGGGGAAGCAGGGATGTGCACTGAGTTAGGAGACCTCACTTGCTTCCTGGTTTTGACCTCATGTGTCCACCTTGGCCTCTGCTATGCCTAATTCTTGTCTCCCCAGCCTTTGTGGGTAAAGTCTCTAGAATAAACTCCCCATCTGTTGAAGAGTGGCTTCGGGAGGCACGACCTCTTGGGGTAAGCAGGTGATACTGTGAGAGACTCAAGGCTGCAGCAGCTATGTTCGACTTTCAGCTGCACTTGCAGTTCCATGTCTGTCCTTGCCTTCCATAATCCTTAGTGCCTGCTGGTGCCAACAGGACAGGTGACTCACTTCTCTGGACCCTTCTTTTTGTATTTCCAAAAGTTGCTGAATTCTCTGGCTTGCTGCTTGCTTGTTTCCTGGTGTTCAAAAAAAAAAAAAAAGGAGCCAGGCCTTTTTGCTTTCTTAACTGGGCTTGGGGAGCAGAGCTGAGCATGTGTGCCAGTGCACTGTGCTTACCTAGAAGTCAGCTGACACCTTTTTTTCCCTGCTGGAGCCTTGCTGGGTGTGGCTGGGCTGCCCTCCTGTGCACTCAGGCTCCCTCTCTGTCTGGCTTCCTTCTTGCTTCTGCTTTTGCAAAGCCAGCTGCTGGGTGTTGTCTCTCATTTCTCCAGTCTCTGGAACCTCCCATTCTCCACTTCCACTCTGCAGGGGACACTGCCTGTCTCAGAGGCCTAAGCAGACCCTCTCCCAACCCTTACCTGAGGCCTGAAGCTGGAAAGGAATTCCACAGGGAGAGTCCTATGCTTGCTTGAAGGCCTGTCTTAGTCTCCAAACGGGCAGGCTTTGCACATATCCAGCATCTCAAATTACTTCTTGGAGACCATGATTTTATTTTTGTCATTGACAACACACATGACACTGCAATTATATCATTTTGTTTAGTTTCTTAAATATTACTTAAGTATGCATTAAAATATGTTTACATTTAAGAAATAAGGTATTTTAAAGAAGTCCTCTATAAGCATAATCCTTTCTCAATGTGTTTTCTTTCTTAGTTTCATACATAAATAATCTACAGAATCATAAAGCTATCAGCTCTTATGGCCTAGAAGTGTATATAAATTTTAGTTTGAGGAAAGTATCCTCTTTGGTTTTATTTATTTATTTATTTACTTTTATTTATTTTTTATTATTCATATGTGCATACAAGGCTTGGGTCATTTCTCCCCCCTGCCCCCACCCCCTCCCTTACCACCCACTCTGCCCCCTCCCTCTCCCCTCTACCCCCTCGATACCTGGCAGAAACTATTTTGCCCTTATCTCTAATTTTGTTGAAGAGAGAGTATAAGCAATAATAGGAAGGAACAAGGGTTTTTGCTAGTTGAGGTAAGGATAGCTATATAGGGAGTTGACTCACATTAATTTCCTGTGCATGTGTGTTACCTTCTAGGTTAATTCTTTTTGATCTAACCTTTTCTCTAGTTCCTGGTCCCCTTTTCCTATTGGCCTCAGTTGCTTTTAAGGTATCTGCTTTAGTTTCTCTGCGTTAAGGGCAACAAATGCTAGCTAATTTTTTAGGTGTCTTACCTATCCTCACCCCTCCCTTGTGTGCTCTCTCTTTTATCATGTGCTCAAAGTCCAATCCCCTTGTTGTGTTTGCCCTTGATCTAATGTCCACATATGAGGGAGAACATACGATTTTTGGTCCTTTGGGCCAGGCTAACCTCACTCAGAATGATGTTCTCCAATTCCATCCATTTACCAGCGAATGATAACATTTCGTTCTTCTTCATGGCTGCATAAAATTCCATTGTGTATAGATACCACATTTTCTTAATCCATTCGTCAGTGGTGGGGCATCTTGGCTGTTTCCATAACTTGGCTATTGTGAATAGTGCCGCAATAAACATGGGTGTGCAGGTGCCTCTGGAGTAACCTGTGTCACAGTCTTTTGGGTATATCCCCAAGAGTGGTATTGCTGGATCAAATATGGTAGATCAATGTTCAGCTTTTTAAGTAGCCTCCAAATTTTTTTCCAGAGTGGTTGTACTAGTTTACATTCCCACCAACAGTGTAAGAGGGTTCCTTTTTCCCCATCCTCGCCAACACCTGTTGTTGGTGTTTGCTATGATGGCTATTCTAACAGGGGTGAGGTGGAATCTTAGTGTGGTTTTAATTTGCATTTCCTTTATTGCTAGAGATGGTGAGCATTTTTTCATGTGTTTTTGGCCATTTGAATTTCTTCTTTTGAGAAAGTTCTGTTTAGTTCACTTGCCCATTTCTTTATTGGTTCATTAGTTTTGGGAGAATTTAGTTTTTTAAGTTCCCTATATATTCTGGTTATCAGTCCTTTGTCTGATGTATAGCTGGCAAATATTTTCTCCCACTCTGTGGGTGTTCTCTTCAGTTTAGAGACCATTTCTTTTGATGAACAGAAGCTTTTTAGTTTTATGAGGTCCCATTTATCTATGCTATCTCTTAGTTGCTGTGCTGCTGGGGTTTCATTGAGAAAGTTCTTACCTATACCTACTAACTCCAGAGTATTTCCTACTCTTTCCTGTATCAACTTAGAGTTTGGGGTCTGATATTAAGATCCTTGATCCATTTTGAGTTAATCTTGGTATAGGGTGATATACATGGATCTAGTTTCAGTTTTTTTCAGACTGCTAACCAGTTTTCCCAGCAGTTTTTGTTGAAGAGGCTGCTATTTCTCCATCGTATATTTTTAGCTCCTTTGTCAAAGATAAGTTGCTTATAGTTGTGTGGCTTCATATCTGGATCCTCTATTCTGTTCCACTGGTCTTCATGTCTGTTTTTGTGCCAGTACCATGCTGTTTTTATTGTTATTGCTTTGTAATATAGTTTGAAGTCAGGTATTGTGATACCTCCAGCATTGTTCTTTTTGACTGAGTATTGCCTTGGTTATTGTGGCCTCTTGGGATTCCATATAAATTTAACAGTAGATTTTTCAATCTCTTTAATGAATGTCATTGGAATTTTGATGGGAATTGCATTAAACATGTAGATTACTTTGGGAAGTATCGACATTTTTACTATGTTGATTCTACCAATCCATGAGCATGGGAGATCTCTCCACTTTCTATAGTCTTCCTCAATCTTTTTCTTCAGAAGTGTATAGTTTTCCTTGTAGAGGTCTTTCACATCTTTTGTTAGGTTTACACCTAGGTATTTGATTTTGGTTTGAGGCTATCGTAAATGGAATTGTTCTCATACATTCTTTTTCCGTTTGCTCATTGTTAGTGTATAGAAATGCTAATGATTTTTCTATGTTGATTTTATATCCTGCTACCTTGCTATAGCTATTGATGATGTCTAGAAGCTTCTGAGTAGAGTTTTTTGGGTCTTTAAGGTATAGGATCATGTCGTCTGCAAATAGGGATATTTTGACAGTTTCTTTACCTATTTGTATTCCTTTTATTCCTTCTTCTTGCCTAATTGCTCTGGCTAGGAATTCCAGTACTATGTTGAATAGGAGTGGAGATAGTGGGCATCCTTGTCTGGTTCCTGATTTTAGAGGGAATGGTTTCAGTTTTTCTCCGTTAAGTATAATGCTGGCTGTAGGTTTGTCATATATAGCTTTTATAATGTTGAGGAACTTTCCTTCTATTCCTAGTTTTCTTAGAGCTTTTATCATGAAATGGTGTTGGATCTTATCAAAGGCTTTTTCTGCATCTATTGAGATGATCAAGTGGTTTTTGTCTTTGCTTCTGTTAATGTGGTTTATTACGTTTATTGATTTTCGTATGTTGAACCACCCCTGCATCCCTGGGATGAAGCCTACTTGGTCGTGGTGAATAATCTTTTTGATGTGTTGTTGAATTCGGTTTGCCATTATTTTGTTGAGGATTTTTGCATCAATGTTCATTAAGGAGATTGGCCTATAGTTCTCCTTTTTGGAGGTGTCTTTGCCTGGTTTTGGGATAAGTGTAATACTGGCTTCATAAAATGTGTTTGGCAGTTTTCCTTCCCTTTCTATTTCATGGAACAGTTTAAGGAGGGTTGGTATCAGTTCTTCTTTAAAGGTCTGATAGAATTCAGCAGAGAATCCATCAGGTCCTGGACTTTTCTTTTTGGGGAGACTCTTGATTGCTGCTTCAATTTCATTTTGTGTTATAGGTCTATTCAGGTGATTAATTTCCTCTTGGTTCAGTTTTGGATGATCATATGTATCTAGAAATCTGTCCATTTCTTTAAGATTTTCAAATTTATTTGAATATAGGTTCTCAAAGTAGTCTCTGATGATTTCCTGGACTTCCATGGTGTTTGTTGTTATCTCCCCTTTTGCATGCCTGATTCTACTAATTTGGGTTTTTTCTCTCCTCATTTTAGTCAGGTTTGCCAGGGGTCTATCGATCTTGTTTATTTTTTCAAAGAACCAACTTTTTGTTTCATTAATTCTTTGTATGGTTTTTTTGGTTTCTATTTCGTTGATTTCAGCTCTTATTTTTATTATTTCTCTCCTTCTATTTGTTTTGGGATTTGCTTGTTCTTGTTTTTCTAGGAGTTTGAGATGTATCATTAGGTCATTGATTTGGGATCTTTCAGTCTTTTTAATATATGCACTCATGGCTATAAACTTTCCTCTCAGGACTGCCTTAGCTGTGTCCCATAGGTTCCGGTTGTGTTTCATTTTCATTGACTTCCAGGAACTTTTTAATTTCCTCTTTTATTTCATCGATGATCCATTTTCATTAAGTAATGAGTTATTTAGTTTCCAGCTGTTTGCATGTTTTTTGTCTTTACTTTTGTTGTTGAGTTCTACTTTTACTGCATTGTGATCAGATAGTATGCATGGTATAATTTCTATTTTCTTATATTTGCTGAGGCTTGCTTTGTGCCCTAGGATATGATCTATTTTGGAGAAGGTTCCATGGGCTGCTGAGAAGAATGTATATTGTGTAGAGGTTGGATGAAATGTTCTGTAGACATCACTAGGTCCATTGATCTATTGCATATTTTAGATCTTGGATTTCTTTATTGAGTTTTTTGTTTGGATGACCTATCTATTGATGATAATGGGTGTTAAAGTCTCCCACAACCACTGTGTTGGCGTTATATATGCTTTTAGGTCTTTCAGGGTATGTTTGATGAAATTGGGTGCGTTGACATTGGGTGCGTACAGATTGATATTATTATTTCCTTTTGGTCTATTTTCCCCTTTTATTAGTATGGAATGTCCTTCTTTATCTCGTTTGATCAATGTAGGTTTGAAGTCTACTTTGTCAGAGATAAGTATTGCTACTCCTGCTGTTTTCGGGGGCCATTGGCTTGGTAAATCTTCTTCCAGCCTTTCATCCTAAGCCTATGCTTATTTCTGTCGGTGAGATGGTCTCCTGTAAGCAACAAATTGTTGGATCTTCTTTTTAATCCATTTCGTCAAACGGTGCCTTTTGATGGGTGAATTAAGTCCATTAAATTAAGTGTTAGTACTGATAGGTATGTGGTGATTCCTGTCCATTTAGTTGTCTTAGTTGTTGAAGGTTTGGATTGGTGTTCTTTGGGTTTTATGAATAACCACATAGTGTAGTATTTGCAATGTTTATTATTAATCAAATGCTTAGTTTAAGTTCTTGCTGTCCCCCAAGCTGTTCTGCCAATAATAATGTAGACTTTCAGTTTACTTGGCCAAGATGCCATGTATTTAAGAAGTCAAAATGAAGCCGGGTGTCAGTTGCTCACACCTATAATCCTAGCTGCTCAGGAGGCAGCTATCAGGAGGATCATGGTTTGACGCCAGCCTATGGCAAATAGCTTGTGAGACTCTACCTCAAAAAAACCCCTTCACAAAAAATGGTTGGTGGAGTGGCTCAAGGTGTAGGCCCTGAGTTCAAGCCCAAGTACTGCAAAAATGAAAAAAAGAAAGAAGTCAAAATGACAGCTGGGCACTGGTGGCCCATGCCTGTTCTCCTAGCTACTCAGGAGGCAGAGACTGAAGCCACTCCTGGCAAATGGTTGTCAAGACCCTTCACACACAAAAAAGGAGCTGGTGGAGTAGCTCAAGGTATAGGCCCTGAGTTCAATCCCAAGTACCACACACACACAAAAAAAAGTTGAAATGGTCAAAAATGAAAATTTATTTTTTTAGGCAAGGTCTTACTATGTTGCCTATGTAACACAGTTGGCCTCAAACACATACTCTTTTGCCTTAGCCTCCCAAGTAGCTGGGACTATAGGGTTGAACCTCTGTGCTTGGGTGAAGCTGAGATTAAAAAAAAAAGTAACAGAGAAGGTAGCTATTTGAATATTATTAAAACCACTTCTGCTTGTCTGAAAAATAACAAAAAGCCATGGAAGAGTGAATGCCAAGCTGCTTCTTCAGTCCTAAAAAGTTTCTCTTTTATCTGGTCCAGTCACCAATTAGCAGAAAGTCAGTCCGCTATCAGGCATGTGGTTGCGTTCTCAGCAACCAGCTCCAGAGCAGGCCAGTCTTATCCATACTCACTGTTGGGGGAAGGGGACAGGCACCTGCTCTCAAACTTGTTTTCTTTTCCTTAACTCAGTGTTTAAAATCAGCTTTGTTTCCAATTTTAAGTGTACAATTCAATAAGTTGTGACAACCCTATGCAGTCAGATAACTGCTACCACACACATGACATGGAATATTTTTGTCACCTCTAATAAGTTCCTTCTTACCCCTTGGCAATCACACCTTTGTCCTAGCCCTGACTCCTGACAGCTGCTAATCTGATCTCCATCATTTTTACCTTGCTTTTTTTGGGTGGAACTGGGGTTTGAATTCAGGGTGTTATACTTGCTAGGCAGATGCTCTACTGCTTGAGCCACTCTGCCAGCCCACTTTTCCCTTGATTTGAATTTGATTTTATTATCAATCACCAGCTACTTTTTTGAGTTAAACTAATTAAGAAGTATATACATTGCAAACAGTGTAGAAAAGTCCAGATAGAAGACAAGTCACTGCTTGGCTTCATATTTAATTGAGGGTCAGATGCCTTCATCAGGACCAACGAGAGGGGAGCCTGGTGATGGTCTTGGTTCCTTTTAGGGCCATGCCTGCCGCCCCCCCCCGCCCCCCGCCCCGGGACAAGCTTCACGGCTTCTCCTTCCTTTTCAGAGCCTGTTCATCCGTGCAGTGCGGGCTTACAATGGCGAGAACTGGAGGACGTCCATCACAGACATGGAGTTGGCCCTTCCTGACTTCTTCAAAGCCTTTTACGAGTGCCTCGCAGCCTGCGAGGGCTCCCGGGAGATCAAGGACTTCAAGGATTTCTACCTTTCCATAGCAGGTTGGTGATGGCTTGTGTCCTAGAGTAAACAGCATGGCCACCACTGTAGAGTCTGGCTGGCTCAGATGTCTGCTGTCTGTCTAGATGCTTTCCAAGTGCCTTAAGTCGCCTCTGAGGAACTTTTGAGCTGAAATTTTAATGAGAAACTGGGAGTAGGAAATCCTGACCTAGATAAGCCCTTGCTCCGGCAGGAGCCACTCATGAAACAGCTGTAGAACCTTCAGGCCCAGGCCTGTGAGCCCCTGCATCAGCCCTGCCCCACGGCAGGTTCCTGAGGCTTTTGGAAAAATAAAAAATGGGCTCAAAGGCAACTCAGAGACTCACATTACTGAGATGACTTGGACCATGGGGATTTCCCTGCATTTGCAAAGGTAGATTGAAGAGTATAATGAACATTTAAATTCTTGTCACTAAGGCAACATTTTGAAATTCTCTTTTATTATAAAAAATGAACGCTTCTTATAAGAAGTTTAGAAAACAGAAAGAATGAAGGAGGAGAGAAAACACCGCCCCACTTAGCCTGGGTTTCCCTAGAGTGCCTAGGTATTTCCCTTGGGCCTTCCATGGGTAGTGTTGCTCCAAAACATAAAAAGAAGTGAGCAAGGGGAAGGGTCACCGAAGTGGCTGGGGCCACTGAGCCTAGAACTGTGCCTCACAAAAAGGGTAAATGAGTTCGGACTGCAGATTAGATGGAAGTGTTGGATCTGTATGCAAACAATGTTTGTTGAATGCATCTGGGGTGGGTGAAGGCTGTGCCTCCCCTCTCACAGAGTCACTAGATTTCAATTAAATGTGAAAGGCTCTAGAAATCCCATAATATGGAAGGCCTTTTAAAAATACTGAATACAGGCTTTTTTTTTTTCAATAATTTTTTGTTCATGGATCTCTTTTCTGTAAGGTACTCCCCAAAGGAACCCTTTTTAATTACGGAAAATTTCAAACACATACAAAAAATAGAAGAGGCTAACTAAGCAACCTGTGTGTATCTAGGACTCAGCTTCATAGCTGTCAACTTGTGGCCATTAGACTTCATCCAGTTCCCACCTGCTTCTTTTGTAGGTTATTTGGAAGTAAATCCCAGATGCTGCATCATTTCATTTGTAATATTTCAGTATATACCTCTAAAAGATAATTCTTGTTTTGTGTTTATTGTAGCCACCAAACTATCACACCTAAAAGAATTTGAATTGTTCTTTGATCTCATTATCAAATACACTGACAGTGTCCATATGATCTCAGAACTGTCATAAACAGCTGTCTGTACCTTTAAATTACCATTTGTTTATTTGAAGCAGGATCAAAATAAGGTGCACACTTTGCAACTGGTTATCTTTTAAAAAATTATTGTGGTAGAATATATACGATACCATTTAAGCCATCTTTACACGTACAGTATGCTGGCATTAAATACTTCCACATGACTATAAAAACACCACCAGCATGAGAACTTTTTCTTCTTCCCAAACCGAAAGTCCATGCCCATGAAACCATAACACCCCTCTGTCCTCCCTCAGCCCCTGGCTCCTCCCTTGTCCTTTCTGTCTCTATGAGCCTGATTGCTCTGGCGACCTTCTGTAAGTGGAATCGTGGTATTTGTCCATTTGTGACTGACTCATTGCACTTAAAGAGTGCTTCGAGGCTCATCACCTTGTAGCATATATGCTATCTTCTCAGTCTTTTTAATTGGAAGGCTCTTCTTCCATGTTGTTCCACCAGAATGGTGTGTAGAGGCTTCCTCAGCCGAGGGTCAATTTCTTTTTTAATGGGAATTGGGGGCTAAGACTTCTTTATAGTTGATGTGGAGTTCTTCCATCAGGAAGTACATAATGTCTGCTGTGTCTCTTACTTATCTTTGATATACAGTGGTCCCCTTATCCGTGGTTTCACGTTCCATGGTTCCAGTTACCTTTGGCCAAGTATGATTGGAAAATATTCAATGGAAAATTCCAGAAAGAAACAATTCATAGTATTGAGTAGTGTGATGAAATCTCTCACTGTTCTGGTCTGTTTCACCTGGGAATGAGTCATCCTTTGTCCAGAGTGTAGATATTGTATATGCTACCTGCCCATTGGTCATTTAGTAGCTGTCATGGTTGTAGGTAAATCATCACAGTGTCACAGTGCTTGTGTTCACATTACCCTTAGGTAGTAATCTCATGCTTCATTACCCTGCCTGTGTCATTCACCTCACTGCCTCTCATTACATAGCCCTTGTGTCATCTCACATCCCAAGAAGAAGGTTGAACCAGTACAGTAAGCTGTTTTGTGAGAGAACAAGTGAAAGACCACACTCTATACCTGGTTTTTATTTTTAAATGGTTTCAAACCTGAAGGGAAGACACAAGAATAGTCTTAAGAACTTCACATACTCATGCAGATTTATCAAATTTTAGCACTGATTGTATCCCATTTACTTTGTCACTCTCTTCATATGTGTCGTGTGTATAAGTATATTATTTATTTTGCTTTTGTTTGAGAACGGGTCTTACTATGTTGCCCAGGCTGGCCTCGAACTGTGATCCTCCCATCTCAGTCTTCCAAGTGGCTGAGATTATAAATGTGTACCACCTCTCTTGGTTTATAATTTTATTTATTTCAGAATCATTTATAGACTGTGTACCACCTCTCTTGGTTTATAATTATATTTATTTCAGAATCATTTATAGACTGTATTTGTAGGTATCAGGGCCTTTTACCCTTTACCCTATAATACTTCAGTGTATTTCCTAGGAACAGTAATATTCTCTGCATATCGACAGTAATTAAATTCAGGAACTTTAACTCACTTACAGCATTCATATTTGTTGTCAGTTGTCTGAATAGTGTTCTGTCTTACGTGTTTTCTTTCTTGGTATGGGACCCAATCCAGAATCATGTTTTCTGTTTAGTTGTGATTGGTGGTATTGGGGTTTGAACTCAGGGCCTCACGCTTGCTAGGCAGGTGCTCTATCACTTGAGCCACTCTGCCAACCAGATTTTTTTTTTTTCTTTTTACTGTTTTTTAATCTGGAACAGTTCTTTGGCCTTTGTCTTTTTATGTCAATTATACATATATATATATATAAAATTGTGTATATATATATAACTGTATATCTATAATTTGTGTGTGTATATATATATATATATATAATGTATATACATATTTGGTGGGACTGGGATTGATCTCAGGGCTTCTCACTTGCAGAGCAGGCACTATACTGCTTGAGCCACACCTCCAGTTCATTGTGCTTTGATTATTTTGAAAATGGGGGTCTCATCAACTATTTGCTTGGGCTGATCTCAAACCATGATCCTCCTGATCTCAGTCTCCCAAGTAGCTAGGATTACAGGCGTGAGCTACCAGTGCCTGGCCGCCAATGATATTTTTAAAGCATTTATAATTACCAGTTTGGTTTCTGTCTTATAATCTCACAGTTACACTTAGGGTATGCATTTTGGGCTGGAATACTAGTAAGTATCCTCTTCAGGGTATCACCGTGTGTTTGCTCTCTTATTGGCGATGTTAACTTTTAAGCATTTGGTTTAGTTGTTTCTTTTCTTTTCTTTTTTTTTTTTCAGGGCTTGGCACATACTAGGCAGGCATTCTACCACTTGAGCCATGCCCCCGGCCCTCAAATGATTTCAGTTTCTCTACAATATAGTTAGTATTTTCTCTTTTGAAGTCATTTATTCATTTGTTTTTGTTTCTCACTAAGTAGCCCAAGCTGGCCTTAAACTGACAAGTGTCCTGCCTCAGTCTCCTGAGTGCTGGGCTTATAGGTGTGTACTACTACACCCCGCAGAAGTTTCTTTTTTGTGATACTGGGGTTTGAACTCAGGGCCTCACACTTGTAGGCAGGCACTCAACCGCTTGAGCCACTCCACCAGCCCTGTTTTTTGGTTGGGTATTTTCATGATAGGGTCTGGAGAACTATTTGCCCAGGCTGGCTTAAACCATGATCTTCCTGATCTCTGCCTCCTAAATAGCTAGGATTACAGACGTGAGCCACCAGCGTCTGACCTTGTCATTCTTTTTATTTGCTACAGAATACTCTGTTGCAGAGGGTGGTGATGTACTCTAGGTTAGGCAGCTCTCTGATAGAGATTAGGGTTGTTCTAGATATTTGCTGTTACATATAATATAAGGGTTTTTTTTTTTGTAAATATGGAGATGTATTTTGTAGTGGGTTAATAGCTCAAAGAGTAAATGTTTCCATAATTTATTTAGTATTTTAAGGTACCATTTTGCATTCTTGCCAGCAATGTATGAGAGTGCCTTTTTCTTCACAGTCTTGCCCACAAGA